ACTGCATGATGCAACTTTTTTCCAAAATCAATTTTAGAGCTGCATGATCCAGCTTCCGATGAGACTACAACATAGCAACCATAACAACTGACTTTTGTGATGCGCAACTAGTCTACTACCTCGACCAACCACCTTGTAGTAGATGTGCGACCCTCCTTCCTACTTGTGGATGCCTATTTGTTGGCAGACCCTGCACCACCTCCCCTACCAGCGATATGTGCAACTTAGTATGTTGTTCAAGCCAACCGTCTACTTGTCGATGTGCAACTCTTTCCCCTCCCTACTTGTAGATATGTAGTTTCGGTTGGCGGGGGCAACAAACGGAGTTGCACATAGCTTGCTATGCAGTTGGCTAAGAAAACATACCAAGTTGCACATCTCATAGGCAGGGATAGTTGGATGGTGTTCCATATTCACGAGGATAGTGAAAAGCTGCATATAGACATGGCGCTGAAGTTGCAAATCTCACTAGCGGAGGTGGTTTGGACTGGTTGCTGGAAGGGAAAACTACACATTCATGGGGGTGCGATGAAAAGTTGCACATCCCTGTTAGACAGTTGGTCGTGTCAGTATTCGAAGTTGCACATCCACGGCTAGGCAGTTGGCAGATGTAGCAAACAGTGAAAGCACATCCACATGCAGGGGAAAGTTGCACATCAAGTACTAGGCAGTTGGCCTGAGCAATAGACGAAGTTGCACATGTCACTGGAAGGGGTAGTTTGAGGGGGTGGAGGTGACATCAGTGAAAACTGCACGTCCACGGGGTAGGCGGGAAGTTGCACATCCACTGTCAGCTAGTTGCACATGGCTTCTAGTCAGTTGCACAAAATGAGGGACTAAATTGCACAAACAAATTCATCAGAACATACTCATACGGGATGTAGTTTCGAAGAGCATGTCACGAGGATTCCAACAATGAAAACGGATCTTAATTTCGATGCACGGTTTGAAAGTTATGGTTTTTTAAATTTTATAAATCATAAATTAAATGATAAAAAGTCATCCATGTCCATGCAGTAAAAGAAGATGCAGCGGATGCATGTGGATCATTAATACCCATGTTCATTGATTATTTCTTGTTTAACTAGTTGGGACGAGAGCAATCTTTCCTAATCAGCACAAAGGGACAAAACACTTTCGATAAATTAGCGGCCGCTCGCGAAGGCCAGCTTAACATTTTTTTAACTTATTTTGTCCACATAATAAAGACACTCATACATACACACATACACTCACCTCTATAAACGCACGTACATACACCCTAATCGTATGAGCACCTTCCAGAGACCAAGCCGGCAGAAAATCTTGAGATTTATGAAGTCGCCACATACGCCTTTGTAGCCGACGGAAATGTCTTCTTGCACTGAAGGCACGTCGCTGATAGTCCTAAAATAATCTCGAAAAGTGTGATCACCAAACCTGCCACGTGGTGGTTCTAAGTACGCAGCGGCAACCAACCAGCCACGCCACCACATGTCATCGCTTACTTTTTTTATCTCTTGTATTCCTTCTTCTTTTCTTTTTATTTTTTCTCTTTCTTTGTAATTCTTTTGTTTGGGTTTGTTTTTCGCATTTTTCATTTTTGTTTTCTTTTTCAAAAAAGTGTGAACTTTTTTTAAATTTATGGTTTTTTAAATTGATGAAATTTTTATAAGTTTTGTATTTTTTCAGAAGCAATGAACTCTTTTCAAATTAGATGACTTTTTTCGAAACCGATGAACTTTTTTTCAAAATCAGTGAACATTTCTTGAAATTTGAGAACTATTTCTGAAAATCATTGCTTTTTAAAAAAATCAGTGAGCTTTTTTAAAAAAAATCTATGAAAACAATTTTTGAACCTCTTAGAAAATCAATGAATTTTTTCTCTTCTTTATGAACTTTTTGAATCCGTGAACTTTTTTGAATGCACGAACTTTTTTTTTATTTCGTGATGTTTTTTGAAATCTGTGGACATTCAAATTTGGTTCATTTTTTTTCAAATGGAATCACATTTTTCTAAATAACGCGGCCATAGTTCAGTTCTTAAATATTCTGTGTTGCAATCTTTCACTTGGGCATAGTTGGTCTAGTGGTTAGCCAACCATGCACTAAACGGAAAGCCTGTGGACTCAATCAACATAACCACACAAATAAAAATATTGACCGTGTCGGCAGAAAAGACCGACCGACAGAGAATTAGCAAAATCACAAAAGGAACATAAACTAACATATCTGAAACAAAGAGTGAACAGAAAGGAAGCAAATGTTCTATGAAGGCTCATTTATTTTTTGTGCGCCCAGTTTTATACGTTTTTTGTTTTTGAGGAAGCACAGTGCTCTAGTACACTATCTCCCTCTCGTTTTTTTTTTCGAGGGATGAACAAAAGTTTTATTCATCAAAAACCACAGTTTGTGGGATACATGCTGGATCGTGGGGGTGTAACAGCCACACTTGGCGCCCCTGAGCTAGCCTTAGAGAGTATTTTGCTAAGCTATGCGCATCGTTATTAGATCGGCGCCCTTCATACAGGATATTTCTATTAAACCTCTCCGCCCTCTTTCTAATTTCTTGAATGATCATACCATAAGTGCCATTAGCGTTCTTGTTGATGTCCTCGACTACCTGCTTAGCGTCACATGCAATAATGAAATTGTGGAGCGCTAAGTCTTCTGCTAGGGCATATGCTTCGCGGCATGCGATTGCCTCCAGGATAGCAGGGTCCTGGATACCCGGAACCACCAATGAGGAACTGCCCAGATATGTGCCATGCTCGTCGCGGCAGACCGCTGCAGCCGATCCTTTTCTGCGAGCGGTTGAAACACCCGCATCAACATGGATCTTCGCAAAGCCAGTAGGTGGTGCCATGGGTCTCATCCTGGCTGTGGAGCCTTGCTGGACTGCGTCTCCCGCCTGTCTTGCTGGTTGTTGGCCTTTGATGATTTCCAGATCCATCAAACTGAAAAAAAAAACCCAGCAAAGACCATCCACCCCACGTGATAAAAGGCCCAAGTTACAAGAAAGCCTAGACGTCCTCCTCAAATAGATGGGCCCTACAAAAAAAAACACGAAGCCCACAAGAGCGCACCTACACAGACTCGCACTCGTCAAATATAGCCCTAAAACTGAATCTTAACACATACTCCCTCCGTCCGAAAATAAGCGACTCGACTTTATTCTAACTTGCAATTTTAACTTTAGTACAAGTTAGTACAAAGTTAAGTCGCTTATTTTGGGACGGAGGGAGTACATCCAATGAATATCACGTCGACTGAGACTTTGTTAATTATCAGTCGACTCAGAATTAGAAAAACTGTTTATTAAGAGTAAACCTTAACAAACTTTGGCCAAGTATGTAGAGAAATTTATGTATATATGTCTCATGATGTATTTAATTAGATGTCTTAGGTATTTTAAATGTAGATATTTTTCTCTATAAATATGGTCAAAATTTGCAAAGTTTAACTACTGAAGAAAAATCTATATGCACTACATTGTGAAATGGAGGGAGTACTATATTTGATAGAGGGTTCGAAATGATCAGTAAAAAGGTCTCAGTTATATTCATTTATGAAGCTAATTGGGTTGTCGTATTGGAATAGTGTTTCTTTTGTGACAAGATGAATTGTGCTGATGCTTTCATTTGTCTAATTTTTCCTGCATTGATGATGTAGCAGACAATCCCACCTTTAATAAAGGTAATGGTTTGGGGGTTTTCATTTTCTTCTCTTCGCCAGTTCCTCCATCTTGGTGGTGGTTTATCTAGTGTTGATAGGATTTTGCTTTGTCAGATCATAGCTGGGGAGATCTATTGCATAGATGCAAATCAGACAGAGCCGTTTTAACGGCATAGAATAATATGGGCATTCGAAAATTTAAACATCCTTTTCAAGCGAGTGCAGTGGATGTGATTATGCTGCATTTAATACCTTATTAGCTTGGCTAAAATTTGAGGCTGACGCAATGCATAATCTCCATAAGCTCAAGCTAGTTTTCAGTGCCATCCCCCAAATGGACCAACAACCTTTTCTTTTTTCAAACCGTCCGCAGTTGAAACAACATCAGAAGGGTACTGCATTAATCAGCATCGAGCATATGCCAGATCTTAGAGAGATCTCCGCAAAATTTGGCGGTGCAGCTGCTGATCTAGAGTATGTGTCGAGGACCGGTGTAGTTAGCAATCATCCAAGCAATGCTATAATCGACGTGCAACTAGTGGATTCTGGTTCCCACGGTGATAAAAGGTACATGCTTGTTGTAACTCTTGAATTCTCGTACGTACTTAACCTAAATTAACTGTTCATGGTTATTGTAATCTGCAGGATATCAGCTAGGTCACCGGAGTCCACTTCTTGTCAGCTGCATGTTCCAGGTATATATACTTTTTTTAGGCTGGTCGTAATGGTAGTATCATAGCTAGTATCATGCATGCCAACTAGGCAATTTTGATGAGGTGTCATAGCATTAAATTAAGAAAGAGAGGGTGTAGTATCATATCATGATACCGTATCATAATAAATGCTATGCTACTTTGTGTCATGCATGGCAATAAATAAAGTACTACATGATACTACTATATGATACTATGCATTAGGGAGGTAGTATCATACACTAGTATCATATGCATGATACTAGTATATGATACTCCCCATTACAACCAGCCTTACAGAGACAATTTGCCATCTGCAGGATCAGGTGATAAGTTATTACCCATCAATTAATTTGTCGACTTTTGTCAGGAGCGGGAGCTGGTGGTGGTAGAGAGGTGTCATGGAGCAATATCATTGGTGTGATAGGTCGTGACCTCTTCATCCATTGCCTCCACCGCCTCTCCAGGTGGGAATATGGCGCCATCGCCTCCCTCAACCGTGATTTCAATTCCGTGGTTCGCAACGGGGACATCTACCGCCTGCGTCGCAAGAACGGGGTCGCAGAGCACTGGATATACCTTTCTTGCGGTAGTAATCCTCCGGAGTGGGAGGCTTATGACCCGTCCACTGGGCGCTGGATCCAAGTGCCCAAGATGCCACCGGCTGGAAGCATCGTCTGGGAGTCGCTTGCTGTAGGAACCGAGCTGCTGGTGTTTGGAGACTACGGAAGGGTTGCCTTGAGATATAGCATCCTTACCAATTCATGGACATGGTTGGCTGATGCGATGAACACCCCGGGGTACTGCTTTGGGTCAGCGAGTGTTGGTGAAAAGGCGTATGTCGCGGGAGGCAAGGATTCTTCTGTGAAGGCATTGAGCTCTGCAGAGATGTATGACTTGGAGACACATACGTGGACACCCCTTCCCAACATGAATAGGGCTAGGTTCGGATGCTCTGGCGCGTTCATGGATGGCAAGTTCTATGTGATCGGTGGTCTTGGCAGTGGCGTCAAGGTATTGACATGCGGTGAGGAGTATGACTTGAACCGGCGGTCATGGAGGGTCATCGACAACATAGGTCAAGGACTCAACTTTGAAATCTGGGGTGCATCTCCGCACATTGCAGTTGTGAACAATGAGCTTTATGTGGCAGATTACAGAGAGAATGATTTGAAGCAGTATGATAAGTTGCACAACAAGTGGACCACTCTTGGAAAATTGCCTCTACAGTCTAAGCGAGATGGCTATGACATGGGTTTCCGAGCGTGTGGTGACCGGCTGATTGTTATTGGGCCTCCAATCAATTCTACTGGTGAAAAGGTGGTTGAGCTTCATTCATGGATCCCGGATGAGCAACCGCCTGTGTGGAATTTGGTTGCAACACGGCCAATCATGGGCTACAAGATTATGTGCGCCGTGATGGGTTGCTGAGTCGGCCAACTGAATAAAGGTTGGATGCATGGATGCTAGATATGGGTTACTCGCTTTGTATAATTTTTTTCTTTATCCAGTTTGCTCCATGATTTGAATGACACAGAGTTTCTGTTCATATTCCCATGCAGTGCTGGCTGTGCCTCATTCTCAGTCTGAATTTCCTAGCCCGGGAGTGCTCCACTGATGATATAAAAAGAGAAGACATGAATGAGTTCCAGAGAAAGTGCCTGCAGAAACATCCGAGTTTTAGTCACTAGCTGTTATTTCCAATTGCAATTTGTGTTCCAATAATGTTCTATGGTGTTCTGATGATCTTCATCTTCATCACCCAACTTTATCTTTACAGTAAAACAGAACTCTCAGTTACTTTTCAAACATCGAATTCAGTCTCTAGCTTGCCCTATCTTTTTGTTCAAGATTTTTCGAACTCCTAATAAAAAAAATTGGACCCGACGATATTCAGTCAGCTGTTCTGAAAATGTATTTACTCGTAGTTTGATATACATGCATTAATCTGCTCTAAGACTGTAAAATCATGATTTTATTTTCCAATTGTTTATTTTTCTTGAGAGTGGTGCGAACAACCTTCAACCGAAAATAAGGAAAGGCTGAACATGTTTTTCCTGCTTTTACTGCACTTGCAATACTTGAGTTCTGTGTGACGCTGGGATACAAACAGACCAGGTGTTATTCTATATTTGCATAACAGTGGAATACGCTATATTTGCAGAAAATGATAGATACAGCTAGTACCCTAGTACTGACTCCTGAGTACATGCATAAAAATAATGCGTACTGATAACGTCTGTAGAAAACCACGATCTTTCAACCACTTCTCGAGCTAGTGGCTTTGGTTCAGTTTACTTTCTTTTAGATGCTTCCGAGCAGCAACAGGTAACATTCAATGGACAGGCAAAAGCGTAATTTGTATGCAGTTCGATCAGTATTAGAGAAAGGAAACTCACTCATTGTCGCTTTCTGTACAGTATAAAGTATCAGGTGCGTGCTGCTGCATTTTGTACTCGAGACTTGTCACATTTAATTTATTGAATCCTTGCCCCGATTCCATCCATGCAGGTGTCACCTCGCGCAAGCATCAGAGATATGTGCAAGCAATTAATGTATGAGAAATTTAATGCAAAGTTTGAGTCTTTTCCGGTTATCATGAAATCGTCAAGTGAGCTTCTAACTTTCCTTGTAGATTGAAATGCCCATCGACAAAGCTAAGGGGACATTGCAGCGGTTGGGTCTGGTGGTCGAGACGTCCAAGCAATTCTATTGATGAAGAGGTGATTGAGCTTCATTCATGGACCCTTGATGGGCAACCACCTGTGTGGAATTTGGTTGCCACACGGCCATACACGAGCCAAGTGATTAAATGCTGAATGCAGTGGGTATTTATGAATGAATGAAGATTTCTTCCCAGTTACATGCTTTGCAGTGGGTGTTGAGGAGAAAATAACCAAAGATAGATATATGTATTTCTTTCCTGCTGCATTTACATGCTTTGCATTTTGGTTGCTATAAGAACGTTCGGATTAGGTAATTAGCTGTTTCCTTAGTATTGTTCGACTTGTACAAAGATCTCAGACAAGACCTGCCACTGCCTATATCCACTTAAGGCCTTTCTGTTGAGTCTGCATTGCCAAGCTTCAGGATAACTATTTTGTGGATATTTGCTCCTGTGAAAGAGAAAGAAGGCCCCCGCGCTAGGTTTCCCTCCCCGCGCCGCCACCCGCGAGGCGGCCGGCGAGGGCCCCCAGATCCGCTCGCCGCGCACCCCCCTCCTCCTCCCTCCTCCCTCGCCGCCGCCAAGGGGCGCGGCCGGGCGAAGCCCGACCGGCGCCGGCGGCGGTGGGGCCTGGCGCCGGCGAGCCTCAAGTTTTTTTATATTTTTTCGAATTTACTGTTCATCGGGCGGTTTTGTGGCGGTCAAAACCGGTCAACGTGCTCAAAATCTGGTTTAGGACCAAACTTATCCGGTTTTGAAACTTGAGGGACCAAATGTATACCAAAAAATCTTGAGGGACCAAGTCTATACTTTGTGGAAACTTGAGGGATCAAAAACATACTTTTCTCTTCTTTCAATGATGTACGTAGCTGAGCTGTAAGGTGAAGCTTGTTTTGAGTGTAGATCTAATTCTGTTTCCCCTGGTGGAAGTAGACCCAAATCAATGTTTTGCTGTGCTTCAGAAACAGTGGACCACTAATTCCTTTTGCACCCTGTTTCTGAATATTTGTGGCGTGTGACAAAGAACATTCAGGTTGTTTTCTGCTTCTTTGAATGATTCTTGGAGTAGTTTGCTGGAGAATGTGCGAAATTTGACGGTTCTTGGAGTAGTTGCTCTAGTTTGGACTATCAGGAACCTGCATTATCAGTTTCTAATGATGAATTGAACTCTGTCTCCTGAAGATGGGATATGGACTATCTCCTGAAGATGATGAAGTTATGGAATAGGGACTGGGTGTGCCAGACAGACTGCTATGGCTATGGACTCCTTCTCGTGAATATGAAGTTGTACCAACAAGTTTTTCCTCCGTACTTTTGCTTAAGGTAAATGAGTTTGTTCTGCCGTAACAAGGCTCACCATGTAAGAGTGTATGTTGTCATATATTTGATCCCGGACGGCTTTGACCTCTCTGAATTTGATAGAACTTTACCATGATCCTCCATTCAGTTACAGTTACAGGATCATCTATTTTATGTTGTTGACAATGTTATATGTTCCTACAGTTTCCATAGTTTATTTATTTTTTGGTTTCTGAATGGACAAAGCAATCGATGTTGTCTATCCAGAATGGATCCTGTATAAAACCTACTGTAGTATGGATCATGTCTGAACTAAGAATTGTGCGGCAAGTGAATGTTTGTCTGACAGAAGATGAAAATGCAGACTCCTCTGAGCAGAGGACGGAGGGAGATGCTGCCAATGGCTGATGCAATCCTTTTGTTGGAGCAAGAAGTAATCCGCACTAGACTAATGCGATTGAAAAAAAAAGTAAATCTAAGACCACCCCCGCCTGAATCTCGATAGCAGCAAGAATCGAGAACCCTAGTTTCTAGCTACAGATCCATCACTTACGGATGAAGGCATGAAGCCGCGATGAGTGCCTCCACTCGAGCTCTGGGAAGGTACGGCTCCGGGCAACCTCCGCACCACCGGCCGCCGGCAGAAACATCGGCTCGCCGCCTCTCCGGCATCTTTCTCACGCAACTCTGCTCCATGCGCGTTCGCGCGAATCTGCGCAGATCGGTCGGCCACCGAAATTCGGCTGCATTTTAAGTCTTTTTTTTCAGGTGATTGACTCTGCTCTAGTAAATAGTATATGTTCTTTGTAGATAGCTTACCGCACCCCGAGTACAATGTTTTGGAGGCCGAGCTCCGTATTTAAAAATAAATAAATAAACATATTTAAAAGTTTCAGAAAAATTCGAAAAAATACATATGAAGATATATGTGTTCCTTGAGAACGTGTTAAATTTCATCTAAAAATGTTGTGATTTGCAGGCTGTACAAAAAAAAAATCCGACGCAATAACAAAAATAAAAAGCCTGTTAAAAAATGTGTATTTCTCTTTTCTCTGTACGCCACAGGGGAAAGTATAATGTTGCGAAATTCTCCACCTATGCGGTATACATATGTGTGTGTGTGTCCACAGATAAAAATTCGAATTTTTTCACACTCTGGAAATATGATTTTTGAAAACGAGCTCCTTGTAGCTCGGGCTCCATTTGCATTTTCCCACCGACCCCGACTACACAAACTTAATTACAGCCACTACAGCAGCTCGGGCTCCATTTGCATTATTGAAATTCAGTGAGATTCATGGAAATCTCATTGAAAGTGAAAACCATGGTGTGGACCGTAGACTGGAGGTTACGAACCTTGTAATTCATGTGACTCCTATCACATCATTTTTTCTTTTTTCTATCTACTATATATACTTTCGGAATTCAGATGGTTGATTTTTCTTGCAGCTGGCCAAAGAAGTCCTAATTCGAACCTTGGTCCACACAAGCCTTCAAATTTGTAACTTGGTGAAAGGTCAGTATCTTCAAGTCGCAAGCAACTATACAAAAAAAGATTCCTTACACATAGAAGACGAGTGTGATCATTTTGAGATGCATGCACCCGTTGGTTAGCACTTGAACCACATGCATCACAGGAAAGCCAAAAATAGAGATCAGAGGACAAACAAAGTTAAGGTGGGTTAACCTTCCGGTGACCGGCGAGTGAGAAATTAGGCGGTGACGTTAATACCCCACAGCTTCAGTCTTCAGCAGACGTTATCTGAGTACAGAGGTGTGGAAATATCTGTTCATTGTGTATGCTGCATTATTGAGTAGCTAGAACTTACTTACGTACGAGCCAGCTCTCCAAAAACGAAATCAAAAGGTGGCTGTGAATCAGGTAATTTCAGTCCAAAAGATAGCTGATAGGAGGCGCTGATGATCTTGATCTTGGTGTACACGAGGCAAGTTGAAGGAAATACACTCTTCAGAATTTCCACGCAAAGAGAAAGATACACTTTCTGAATTTCCATCCTTGAGCCAAGGGGTAAACTGCACATTCGTGTTCAGTCCACTTCTTCTCCGTTGCTTTTTGGTTGTGACTATCCCGTCACTGTGCTCTCATCGTGTACCCGCGGTAACGTTGTCTTTGGCACCGTTACTAAGATCGTCACTCTAACGAATGGCATAGTATGTTGAAGGTTCATAGTGGCCACTAATGAATGGCTGATAGTAGCCTAGGGACCGCTGGTTTTATTGATCTCTCCAAGGTGTATGCTCAAGAAGTTGAAGGAAATGGTGCACAATTCTGAATTTCCAAAAAACGAGAAAGGTACTTTTTTTTTGTTTCATAGGCAAAGGAGTAAATTATACAGAAGCCATCGGTGTCCACTTGTGGTCCCGTGGATGTGCATTGGCGTGTCTAGTTCTTCTCCTCGATCGGTCACTTTTTCGTGGCGTGGCGAGCATTACATCGACGTGCTCTCTCCGTGTGCCCGCAGTATCCTCATCTTCAGCAGCATCATTGAGACCGTTCATATCGCTTTAGATGTTCCTGAAGCGAACATACTTCAGAAGTTGAAGGACCATTACGTGGCGTAGTCATATGTACTGAAAGTTGAATGTTGACGTTGAATGATTGGTCTGCCTTTGTTGTCTGTACTGAAAAGTTTGGATGTTCCCCAAGCAAATATACTTCGGAAGTAAATACAAATTCTGAGCCTCTGAACACCACTTGGCTGCACATCGTATGGTAGTGATTTAGATATTCAATGGTTACATCGCAGGAAATATGCAGGAAGATTCCTTTGAGCAGAAGAGGCCCTTTAAATACTGTGCACACAAATTCCAGCAACTAGCATGAACCTTCCATCCATGAATGAGTGAACAGATAGAAAACTTGCGTTGAATGAGTCTTGGAATGTCGACACTTCGATGGTGTCCACACAAGCTCGAGTAGCAGGCTTATCCATCTGTAGCCTGTACTGTCCTATATATAAAGACTCTAGCTAGCCACTCATCCCCTCATCACAAAAGAAAAGGAAGCATTATTGCACCCAAAAACTCAGCTGCTAAGAGCGAGCAATGGACCACGCAACAGGTGCCATGGGCAGCCTGCACCTCAAGCTTGTCAAACTCCTCAAGGAAGAGTACGACCTGCAGAGAGGCGTCAAGGAAGATATCCAGTATCTCGAGAGAGAGCTGGAGAGCATGCAAGCTGCCCTCCGCAAGGTCGGCGACGTGCCACGGGACCAGCTCGACGAGCAAGTCAAGCTCTGGGCAAACGAGGTCAGAGATCTTTCATACAAAATGGAGGATATCATCGACAAGTTCCTGGTACGTGTCGAGGGCCCTGAGCCTGACGACAAGCAGCACAAGCTCAAACAGCTCGTCAAGAAGATGGGCGACTTGTTCACCAAGGGCAAGACGCGCCATGACATCGGAAAAGAGATCAAAAGCATCAAGGCCCGCGTCCAGGGGGCTGCTGACCGGCGTGATAGGTACAAGGTCCACGAGGTGGTTGCTAATCCAGTTGGCGCAACCACGGTCGACCCTCGCCTGTTGGCTCTATACAAGGACAGGAAAGAGCTCGTTGGCATTGATGATTTAGTGAATGAGCTGACCAAGAAGCTGAGTGTTGGGGATGGTGATGTGTCCAAACAACTCAAGATACTCTCTGTTTTTGGATTTGGAGGGCTTGGCAAGACAACTCTTGTCAAAGCAGTGTATGATAAGCTACGGCCGCAATTCGATTGCACTGCATTCGTTTCGTCGGAAGAAAGCCTAGCAGGAAGGAACTTCTCAATGACACTCGTTTTGAAATTGAGAAGCAAAAGTACCCGGAGCTGGGTGAAAAGCAGCTAATCGACAAACTCCGAGGATTACTCGAAAACAAAAGGTATGCATCCTATTATTTCATATACATTAGTTAAATGGGAAAAACTGGTGACAACCTCATCGAGGCGAATTTGATATGACAGTGAATTTTGTTTTGGATGTTCTACACTGGAGAAGGATTTGGATAGCCTATGCTAGTTATTATGTAGATTATTTTACAAGTAAAAGTATCATGTTTAACTTTTTACATTTGGGCCTCCCACATTTATAATTGTATATATAGGTTTTATAACTTCTTGCAATAAATGTGAATTAACAACAGATAGCGCATGAACTTTTTAAATAGATAAATTAGTTAGTCGGAAACTAGAGTTCTTGATGATGAAATGAGATCAAACATGTGCGTGTTCTACTCACTGGGACTTCTTTTTAACTTATTTATTATTGCTCTTGCATTATGGATGTGGGCAGGTATTTCATCGTGGTTGATGATATATGGGATATAGAAACGTGGGAAGTGATCAAGTGCGCTTTCGTGCATAATAGTTGTGCAAGCAGGATAATCACAACTACTCGTAATCAGAAAGTCGCCAAGGATACAGGTGATTGTGTATACAGTCTGAAACCACTTTCTCATGATTTATCTGAGGAGTTATTTCATACACTGCTATTTGGTGATAAAAGTAAATGCCCTCATGACCATTTGGCAATGGTAGACAAAATTTTACATAAATGCTGTGGTGTACCATTGGCTATAATCACGATAGGTAGTGTACTTATTGGTAAACTAGTAGACATGGAGGAATGGTCTAAGTTATACAGCTCGATTGGTTTCGGGAATGAAGAAAACAATGTTGTTGAGAACACAAGAAAGATATTGTTATTTAGCTACTATGACCTACCATTACACCTAAGGACTTGCTTATTGTATTTGAGCCAGTATCGAGAAGATGTCTTGATTGAGAAAGACAGTTTGCTATGGAGATGGGTTGCCGAAGGTTTTGTGTATGAAGAACAAGGGATAGGATTATATGATATTGCCGAGAGATACTTCAACGATCTGATAAACAGAAGTATGATACAACCGATAGGCTTTTCGCATGATGGCATCATAAGTCATTGCCGTGTCCATGATATGGTCCTCGATATGACACGCCTGCTAGCGAAGGAAGAAAATTTTATCACTCTGTTGGATGGTAACGAGCAAAACACATATCCAATATGTAGCAATGCTCATAGGCTAGCCATTCGAGACAAGAAAGGTCTGATTGACACATGCATGACACATTTAAGGTCATTTAATGCAATTCGCTGTGATAAATTTTGGCCGTCTCTTTCATCATTTCAAGCTTTACGTGTTTTAGTTTTGGACGCTGGTAATTGTAATATGGACAACACAAATCATCTTGAACATCTTGGGAAGTTAATTCACTTGAGGTACCTTGGACTAAGGGGGGTGGATACCCTTGAGCTCCCAAAGGAAATAGGGAATTTAAAAAAATTACAGGCACTAGACTTGAGGGGTCATAGAATACAGGAACTACCACACGGTGTTGGTCAACTAAGTCACCTCAAGCTTTTGCGCGCTGACACGACACAAACAAGAATACCAGACTGGATTGGGAACCTGACATCTCTGGAAGAGCTGTGGATGAGCGAGGCCGACGAGTCTTCAAACTTTGTTAAGGAGCTCGGCAAGCTGATGGAGTTGAGGAAGTTATGCATCACTAAAAAATTATGTTTGACCAGCACGAGTGCGGTAGAAGCTTGGGCGAAGTCCGTAACCAAACTGCTGAAAATCCAATTCATACGGATTGGTTGGGTTGAATTAAATGGATATGATGACAGCACCTACTGTTGGGAAGGCTTCATCCCCCCTCGACAGCTGCGCGCCCTACACATATCATGCAAACCACTAGGGCTAATTGCAAGGATTAATCCCATGCTTCTTCCAAATCTTTCCCATTTATCAGTTCATGTGGATAGTCCTGATCTGGAGACCTTTGGAAGGTTTCTAGAGCTTGTCACTCTCCGGCTGGACATGGATGGCATTCAACACCATGATGTGATGGGCCGTCAAGGTGCATTCCCCAAGTTGAGGGTTTTCAAGACGCAAGCAACGCCCGGCCTGTTTCTTGAGGGATCTATGCCCAGCCTTGAATCCCTCCACTTTAGGGTCGAAGCGCGAACCTCCGAGGATGGCAAGGTTGATCACTTTGACTTCCATAGCTTGCGAAACCTTCCTTTGCTTCAGGAAGTCACAGTTGATATATGGCTTGCCCCTGGTGTGGACCTCAACAAGGCCATGCAAATGGTAAAGCGCGCAATCGAGATCCTTCCTAATCCTCCCATACTTCATATGAAAATAACTAAATCAGCTTGGGTAAGTGTATTCATACTTTTTATCTCTACTGGCAGCGCATGTTTGCATATCTGTCAAAGGCTTAAATGTTACTATCTCCTTTTTCAGCTTGATGAATTATTTCCATGTTGAGCTAAGCCAGCCGTGTATATCTTCAACGGCATCAAGGTATGCCGTATGCTGCTTATCTATATAGGAGTATCTATCCATATACAAAATGCAATTAACTGCATGTCTTCCATCTTCTCTTTCTACAAGAATCTGCATATATACTTGTTGCCCTTCATCTATCCATTGTACATATATACATTGTCTTTCCCATCATTTACACATACGCATAAGATTTACCGCTCATTTTCTATAACTTATGTCTAATATGTAGGTTGGCAATGTCAACAGATCACTGCAAAGAAAAAAAATGGTATTGAGGGACTTGTACAGCAATGTTACGAGCTGGAGGATCGCCTAGCTAGTCATTCATGTAGTTCTTGGCTCAGTGAAAAACAAAAAAGGTGTTTTTTTCAAATGTTTTCATTTTTGGCTGTGTTGCTGCTTGATTTGTTTGGTACAATCTGTTGTGTGGTTGTTTAGTCAAAAAGAAAGAAAAAATTGTTTGTTTAACTTGTGTGATTGAGTTGTATGTTGATTAGTAGAAAGGAAAAATTCAAAAA